TACCGAGTGGGCCCAGAGATACCTCTCCGTTTACACGGAGTGACAAATCCCAGTCTCGATCCGCATAAAACAATAGATACTTTTTGAGATACCTGTAGTGCACCTTTATAGTCACCCAGTTACGTTGTGACGTTTGATACACCCAAAGCATTCCTACGGTATCCAGGAGTTACACGATCTCATGGTCAAAGGAAGAGATACTTGACATTGGCAAAGCTCTAGCAAACGAACTACACGATCTTTGTGCTATGCTTAGGATTGGGTCTTGTCCATCACATCATTCTCCTAATGATGTGATCCCGTTATCAACGGCATCCAATGTCCATAGCCAGGAAACCATGACTATCTGTTGATCACAACGAGCTAGTCAACTAGAGGCTCACTAGGGACATATTGTGGTCTATGTATTCACACGTGTATTACAATTTCCGGATAATACAGTTATAGCATGAATAAAAGACAATTATCATGAACAAGGAAATATAATAATAATACTTTTATTATTGCCTCCAGGGCATATTTCCAACAGGAAGTCCCTACAGAATTCAGATGCATACTTTCTGGTGCAACAGCAAGCGCTGGAGGACTTAAGCGCCAAACAAGAGAAAGTTAATAAGCTTGCTAAGCATCTTGCCAGCATTATGGGTACCCAGGATATTGTTTCTTGAGCTCTTCTGAAGTGGTTTCAGTTTTGGACTTGTTTTGCTGCGGCGTTTATATGCTGCTGTGTTCCCTATATTTGCACTGGTGGCGAACTTTGATGCCCAGTGGATGTAATATGTGTAATAGCCATGATAGCCTAGCGTTAGTTGCTTGATTATTTATTTCCTTGTTGTCTTGTTTATTTGTTTGCTTGTAGTCATTGCAGTTCCTTTTCCGCGGTTAGCTAGTGGCTGCAATAACCTATTTTTTAAAACTAGGCCATAATAACCATGGGCTAATATTTACTGTAGTGACACTGGGCCTCCTACTGGCCGTAGAAACAGTGGGCCTTCCACGGGCCATAGAAACAATGGGCCTTCTACGGGCCGTAGAAACAATGGGCCTTCTGCGGGCCGTATCATCAATGGGCCTTATACGAGCCGTATGATCGATTGGCCAAACATGGGCCAAATAGACCGCATTATGGCCGTAAACGGGCTAGAGTTGGAATCATCCGTTCATGGGCCGACCATAACGGGCCATCGTTAATAGGCCGTATTTGATGACGCTATGAAAACGACTCAACGTATTAACGGACCACAAACGGGCCGACTGTAACCACGGGCTGAATTTGGCCCACAAGCAGAAAATGACAGTAACGGGCCGTAAGTAAACGAATGCTGTAAATGAGCCCAAGATTAAATGGGCTCTGAGAAGACCGAAAGATAACATGGGCTGGAAACGTCCCAACGGAATAACGGGTCGTTAATGGGTATAAAGTGATACACTGTTCATTACGGGCCAGTTTCACCACGGGTCGTTAATGGGTGTAAAGTGATACACTTTTCATTACGGGCCAGTTTCATCACGGGCCGTTAATAGGCCAAGAGTTACATAGGGCCTCATATGGGCCGAAAGACGTCATGGGCCATACATGGGCCATAAGTGAAAACGGGCTGGAATCATATTGGGTGGCCCAGATGACGCTACTGGGCCTTATTCGGATAGGGCGTAATGGGCCTTGGGTTAGCGGGCTGTAAATGGGCTATATGCGAACAGGCCGTTAACAGGCTTTCCATGGGCCGGCCCGCCACCTTTTGACGAAGTCAAACGGGCTGGCCATTTCACAGGGATGGGCCTCTGTTGGGCCGTGCCACGCGTCGATGTATCATAGGCGCCTTCCGTCCAATGAGTGGATGACATCTGTCCCAACGATGAGCCGACACGTGTTTCCTCCAGCCAATGATGATTTTACATGTGGAAAATCCCCATTGGCCGGGTCTGTTAATAGGTTATCGGATCCAAAACCCGACCCGGTAGCTTAACGGCGTTCCGTTACGGTGGATGCCACGTGTCGGTCACCCTTGACGAAAGCACTTCTGTGACGCGTGATTTATCGTCATGGAAGTGGACACTTCCTTGATGATAATTTTGGTAATGTCATGGAACACTTCTACGACAAAACAGGTATGACTATCTTGATTCTGTCATAAATTTTTCATGGATGTACATGCATGACAAAAAATGCGACCTACTGTGACAAACACGTATCATCACGGAAGTGTACTTTTTTTATAGTGACTCCCATCCAGAACTATGTAACAAGCTAGTCCATTGGCGGAACGAGGATGGTAGGTGGCCCTAAAGTGATCGTGGTTGGAAATCACTAACGGTGTGCTCTTCGAATGAAGTTACTAAGAGGATCTCCAACCGTTGGCCCCCAGGCGGCGCTTTTACGCGCCCCCTGGGGGCGAGCCGGCACTAAATCGGCGCTGGGGGCGGTTGGCCGTCCAGCCGTCGCCCCCAGGTCGCCCCTAGGCACCGATATTGGCTCACTTTTCGGCCCACTTTCGGTGAATTAAGGGCCCATATGTGTGAGAATAGGCCCATATTTGGCGTGGTTCGCCGTGGTATGCCGTTGAATTATCAACATATAAATATTTTTGTATCACATAGTTCATCACAAAAAATCAAATAGTGCAACAACAAATAGTTCAATACAAATTATATAGTTCAACAAATAAAAACTCATATTTCATCACACTTCGCGCCCGGCGTCGCCCTTGAGCCTCCATAGGTGCTCTATCAGATCCTGCTGTAGTTGATGATGCACCTGTGGGTCTCGGATCTACTGACGCATACTGAGGTAGGCAGCCCAGGTTGCCGGTAGCTGGTGATCAACTTCGGCTAGAGGACCCTGCCTGTAGTATGGTCAGTGTCAAACACTGGGTCTTCTTGCTCGCTTTCGATGATCATGTTGTGCAAGATGACACAGCAAGTCATGATCTCCCACATTTGATCTTTCGACCAGGTCTGAGCGGGGTACCGGACAACAGCAAATCGAGATTGGAGCACACCAAATGCCTGCTCCACATCCTTCCGGCAAGCCTCCTGAATCTTTGCAAACCAGGCATTCTTGCCTTCTGGCATAGGGTTTGAGATGGTCTTCACAAATGTTGACCATCTCGGATAGATGCCATCAGCTAGATAGTACCCCTTGTTGTAGTGCCGCCCATTGATCTCGAAGTTCACCGGAGGAGAGTGACCTTCAACAAGCTTGGCAAAGACAGGAGAGCACTGCAGCACGTTGATGTCATTGTGAGTTCCTGGCATAGCAAAGAAGGAGTGCCAAATTCAGAGGTCCTGTGTGGCCACCGCCTCAAGTACCACACTGCAACCGCCTTTGGCGCCTTTGTACATCCCCTGCCAAGCAAATGGACAATTCTTCCATTTCCAATGCATACAGTCGATACTTCCAAGCATCCCAGGAAATCCTCTTGCTGCATTCTGTGTTAGGATCCGAGCAGTGTCTTCCGTATTGGGTGTTCTCAAGTATTGCGGTCCAAACACTGCCACCACTGCCCAACAGAACTTGTAGGAACACTCTATACTGGTGGACTCGACCATGCGCCCATAGTCGTCGAGTGAATCACCGGGAGCTCCGTGTGCAAGCATCCTCATCGCTGTCGTGCACTTCTGGATCGAGGTGAATCCAAGTTTGCCGGTGCAATCCATCTTGCACTTGAAGTAGTTGTCGAACTCCTAGATGGAATTCACAATCCTGAGGTAGAGCTTTCGGCTCATCCAATAACGGCGCCGAAATGTTTTGTTGCCGTGAAGTGGAGCATCGGCGAAGTAGTCGGAGTAGAGCATGCAGTAGCCTTTGAGACGATGCCGATTCTTTGCTTTCACCCGCCCCGGCGCCGAGCCACCTCGCCGCGGCTTTTCATTGCTCGCCGGCAGCTGGGTGAGGGCGGCGAGCACCATGAGATGCTCTTCTTCCTGGACGTCGGCCTCGGCTTCCTCCTCCAGCAGGGCGGCGAGCGCTTCCTCGTCATCCGAGTCCATCGACGGGGCAGGCAAATCGCCGATCACCTTGCGTCCGGTGGGCGTGTACCCGCCGCTAAACTGCCCCTCCGCGGCCGGAAACGCCCAGCTGCTGTTGGAGGGGCTACCGCGGCGAACCTCTGCTATTTTTCCGGCGGGGAATGGCTATCTAGCGGTGAAGGGCGGCGGGCGGCGCCGGGATATAGCTAGTGGCGGCCGAGGTCGCGTGGGGTGGGATGCGAGTCGAGGAAGAAAATCTTGACTTTTCACCCGACGGTGTGGGCCAGCCGCGCTTTTCCCTTGCGCCGGAGCCCCCGATCGCCCCCCAGTGCGCCGGGTTCGGCCTGTGACCGCCGGGCGGAAAAAAGGGCCGAACCGACGCTTTTCGGCGTCCTGGGGCCACGATTGAGGAGTTTTTTTTGGCGCCGGTGCCGAAAAAGTGGCCTGGGGGGCCTGTTGGGGGCGCGGCTGGAGATGCTCTAGAGTGCTCGTCGAATGAAGCGAACGAAGGCAGAAGCAATGGCATGCAGGTTCTTCACTGCCATCTAATCTATCCTTTGTGTGATAACGTGTTGATATGTAAAGTGAATGAATGTTCAACCGAGACTTTCCATTGGTTGAAATTGTCTAGGAGTCTGTTTTGTGTGCGTTTTGCAACTCTGATCCTGTGTGGTATTTACTCTTTAGCCAAAGAGTCATTAGCAACCGTCGTTAGGTCACAAACCTCCCAGAATCACACCATAAGATTTAAGTGTTCATCTTCTATGAATATTAACTCTGAGGTCATTCTACACAAGATGAACAAATGTGCAGAGTCAAAACTAATCTGAAATGCCATGCAAAAAAAAAAAACCTAATCTGCTCAGCGTCCAGGAAACAAGGAGGAATATTAAAGTGACAAGACATGGAGCATACAGACTGTTTCTTACTCCGTCCCAAAATAAGTGTCGCTGGTTTAGTAGAACTTTGGGACGGAGGAAGTACAACTTATAAGCATCAAAAATTATTTAGCCTGAGATTGTCATCTCTCCTTATTCATGAAAAATTATCTCTGGCGAGAAAATGCCATCTATAATCCGCTTAACGACCACTTCTTGCTCATCTTTCTTCCTCGGAAATCTAGAAGGGCGAGGTACCTCAAGGGCATCGCAGTCATCGCACTGCACCTCATCTTTCAGTACCATCTTCTGCAAGTTGGGAGATCGCTCCAACATGGATCTTATAAATGTAAACTGTTGTTCTAGCGATTTAAATCCAGCAAATTCTAGCTCTTTCAGAAGCTTGTTCTCGGAGCTGCTATCCAAGTGCATTTCCCACTGAGGGCTCCTTCTGTCATGGAAGGAAGCAGGTCTGGCCTCACCCACATCGCATGTATGTTCCCATACCTGTATTTGTGTGAGCAATTCATTAGAACTGTAGGAATACAATTTTAAACAACTTTCTGCTAACATTTGTGAAAAACTAAATTTCCTAGTGTGGACAAGAAAAGAAACAGGGACAAAGACATCACCTCAATATGTAACATTTCAATAGATGGTGCTGCTACAAGAAAGGCCGTTGTCCATAAAATGTCAAATTCAACAAAGATACCAAGTACAGACAGCTTCCTTAGCTTGCTGAATGCGGTGCGGAGATCCTCCATTTCAGGATGCAACCAAAGCTAGTCACAACATTAATAATAAATAAACAAACAAAATAAGAATTGATAGTTTGCAAGCACAGAAATGAGATCATCAAAGAATTTACAGCTATGTATGTTCTGTATTATACATAAACACATCCATGATATAAATTTCACATATGTGACAGACATGACGAATACCAAAAAACTACCATTTAGCAAAAAATAAAGTAGGTACTTACGGTTTCTCCTTGGAAATCCAATGTGAGACTATGTATGCTTGTTACTCCATGTAGAAGCTCACTTAATTTAAATCCGCGTTGCTCACAATCTGAACCACATGAGAGTTCTAATTCCCCAAGAGAAGGGACAAAACCAAAGGTCAACGGGGCACACTGAGATACCCAAGTATCGCAAACCAACTTCTCCAGATTAGGGAGGCAGACAAGGTCGATTCTCAGAAAGCGACACTTTCCGATTTCTAGAACACAGAGTTTTGAGTGTGGTGCATCAATCTTAAAGAGAGAGTAGGAACCAGTATCACAATGATGAAGGGTTAGATGCTTCAGTTGCTTGCAGCAGTCAAACAGAACATGGTGCATGTCCAATTTGTCAAAGCCTACATTTTTTAGAGAGAGCTTTGTGAGGCAGTGGAGCACACTAGGGTAGGCAGTGAAAAAAGCATCGATGTCTTGAGCTCGCTGTTGCATCTCTTCCTCACTATGGTCAAGAGGCTCTGTCTCATCAAGAATGGTGAGATCCAAATTTTTCAACAAACCACTGTCGATTGCATCACCTATCAGTGGGCCAACCTCACAAAGGAAAGCGTTGAACAGATAGAGCTCAAGGTGCAAACTTGAGATAGTGGATTCTCTCTGTTGTTTATCCAACAAACTCCTGGTTGCTTTGGTCAAAGACTTCATAGCTTGTTCCATATCATTTTCCTCAATAGGGTCAGCGCACGGAGCGGATAGGAAATCCTTCACATCGATGCTGAGCTCAGGCAGCAACCAAGGCAGATGCTTCCACCGTGTAGAGAGCACACTTGTCCTTGCAGCCATACATGAGCTGACTCTCCCCAAGATGGACAGTAAAATATCATCAGTCAGCATGCTGAGCCTATCTTCGTCCTTCAGTTGCTGCAACATAAATCAAGGATCCATTATTTAGTTGCCACATAACTTTATACAGAAATACCAAACAGGGAATAATTACACATGGCAACAGGAACTACAATCTCTCTAACATGTAACTTGTTTAATTATCTCTACCATTACTACGGTCTGTTAGTTAGTAACGATCTGACGGCTAAATTTGCTGCTACAGTACCATCTACTCCCTCCATTCCAAAATAACTGTCTCAAGCTTGGTAGAAATTTGTACTAAAGTTAGTACAAAGTTGAGACACTTATTTTGGGACGGTGGGAGTAATAAAGCAAGGAATGTGCAGTCTTCTGTGTATAGTTCTAGCCTTCTAGGTACAACCTCAGTGGCCATATAAAAAAATCATGCTAATTGACGCCCTCCAACACTTGCAAACTTTATTATGAAAAGTATGCATCAATCCAGACAAAACTTAATAATCGTCGAAAAGCTTTCAAGAGAATGGATGCAGGCGTTGCACAAAAGAAGAAAAATAAAAAGCATTCCCATCACTGCCTTTGGCTACAAAAGGATAATGTAAACCGGGGATTTATATCGTCAAGAACAAACAGAGACATCATTGTTTCCTGTTCTCCTTCCGGCACGATCATGTAAATGTTCCAAAAGAAAAATTATGGTCAGGTTTGTAGTTTTATTTACATGTTGAAGGTGCGCAAAAAAAAAAACGAAGACACCGCGGCATGGCGAAACTTTGAACCAAAATCTGGCCACAGTTTTTGACTCTGTTTATTGACAACTTCACTTTGTCAAAACCACGCAAATTATAGGTAATTTGGCTGATAACACGCCATACAAACAACTTAAAAATATAAACGATTTAACATTTACATGGGGTGCTACAATAACTGTTAAGAGTTATATACGTAGTAGTGTATGAGTTGTAGGTACAGCTCTGGCATTGTATGTACAGTGGAATGGTAATAAGAAGAAAATATGAACAGAGGCATGGCGAACAAGAAGAGAGGGGACTTACTTGGCTGCGGGAACTGTCGCTGCAATCGGTATTTATCGCCTCCATGGAGTGTGAGGACGCTGAAACCTGACGGGGCTTGGAACGAAATCTTCCAGGCGAGCGTGGCTCGTCCTTATTCTGCCACTATTTATAATAACCAGTCCGAAAGGGAGGGGTCCTAATCGGACTGCAGCTACACGAGGTCGCCGAATATTACTCCGTTACCGGAGCAAAACCGAGTTGGCTTGCACTCCGTAGGTGGAATCCTCTGCTGCTGCAGCTGCTATTGATCCGGTCATATAAATATATATATTTTTTGAGCATTTCATATAAATATATATTAATAAACAGCAGTTCACCCATGAAGAGAAGAAGAAGGAAGGTCTGGCGCCAGCGAGAGCAAGGCGGTTCAAATTTACTCCCGCGTTAGATGGAATAAACGGGGTCGAATCGAATTCGGCATGGAAATTTAAAGATCTGGCTGGCGCGCTACTGACCCGGGCGCCAGAGGAGAGGACCCTGAAATTGATTCAATTCAAATTCACCCCCGCGTAAGAGAGATAGAGATAGATGCAAACAAACGGAGTCGAATCCGGTATGGATTGGAACCTTAAGTGCTTATACCTTACCGGAGGCGGAGGATTATGGCTGGCTCCTCGTCGGAGAAGAAGAGGGCGGCGGCCGAGGTCTGGGTTCTGACCACTGAGAGCGGACGGACGAACCCTAGCGAGATTTTTTTTATCTCTCTAGCGCCGCTCGTATTTCTAGTACAGAGGATTGCCTGCCTGCCCGCCTCTCTTGGGCCAACGTTGGGCCGAGACTTGTTCTACCGACCGAACCGCTAGAACAGAGCAGCGCACGGCCGCGGCGACGACACGACTGCCAGGCTAGAACAGAGGCAGAGGCAGAGGCAGAGTGATTTATCTGTTTTTTGTGGCGAGAACAGTGTAATTGATAAATTATTACGACCAACCAACGCATCGTGCTGTTGGGTGACGACTGACGAGCCATGGATCTCGGCGACGTTCATCGATCTCGCGCGTCGTGCTGCCGTTCTGCTCTGCTCCCGCCGGAAAAGAGGAAAAAAAAAGGAAAAACAGTACGCCAATGTTGAGGAACTGATGCGTCCACGATCGAGTAGTTAACTGCTGGACGCGATCTCGATCGCCGGAGGAAGCGGGCGGCATCCGCCTCGGTCGCCGAGTGTAGAGACGACGCGATTCGTCCCGCTGTTCGTTTTCGATTCGCAGCCACGAATGTTTCTTTACTTTTTTTTAGAATCACGATTTGCGACGAGCTCAGTGCGGGAGGCCTAGAATTGTCGCGCAATGGGCCGGGCCCAATAGTGCCCCCGCGGTGAGAGAGAGGGAGAAAAACACGTGTGCCCGTTGTTCGCTAGAAAAAAACCGGTTTGAGAATTAGTTTTTCTGCGGGGCAACCAGTTTGAAAACCTGCGACCTGGATTCTCTGACAGATTTTTAATTTATTTTTGAATGAATAAGTCTGTCATTTTTATTAAAAAAATGTCCGTGAATTTAAAACATGTTTGTGCATCTAAACAATGTCCACACAAAATATGAAGTATCATTATTATCCATGCCTCCATGATGAACAACCATGACTTTGACCTCAACGATTTTGTCGCTTTAGCTGTGCATGGGTGGCCTGGCCCGAAGCCCGACGTTCGGGCCGGGCTAGGGCCTCAGTTTCCTGCCCATGGCCCGGCCCGAAGCCTAACGTTCGGGCCAGGCTAGGGCCTCAGTTTCCTGCCCATGGCCCGGCCCGAATCCCGGGAAAAGCCTGGTAAAAGGGTTTTTCAAGAAAAATATATATAATATAGTATATATATATAGCCCCAACATTAGGTATTTATTAAATTTAATAGATAAAACAACAGTTTTTTCGGGCTGCGGGTTAGGTCGGGCTCGGGTTTGAGAAATTTTGGACGGGCTTTATGAAGCCGGGCCCGGCCCGAAGAATGCCCAGGTTTTTTAGCATGAGCAGGATCAACATCAGAGGTGCATCTGAGAGTGGCTTTAATCCGATTTATCCTAACAGAGATCATCGGTAAAGAAATAGAAAAAAAACTGTGGAAAGAAAACTGAAAGAACCGACAAAGAAAAG